TCCTGCTGAGCCCAGTCAAGGATGGGGTTGCGAGTCATCAGCCAGGAGAGTCCCATGATGAGTGGAAACCGGGGCATGTTTACCACATCAAATTGCAAGTGTTCCATGTGTTGATGGATCTGAAGGGTGACTGTGCAGGTTTCCTGGGTCACGGGGATGGAGCGGAATGTTCCAGAATAAAACCACCAGGCACACAATAAATATGCAAATGAGATCTTTAAAAGTGCAATCACTTGCCCAGTGGTTCTAAAGTATAGACTTTTGGTCCAAGAATTGCCTTCTTTGATTGTGTTGCCACAGTGTTCTCAAGTAAAAAGCAGTGTTGGTCAACTAAAAATGCTGGAGCTTTATAACTGGTTAGGGATGATGCAACACAATCAAAGGAGGCAATTCTTGGACCAAAAGTCTATACTTTAGAACCACTGGGCAAGTGATTGCACTTTTAAAGATCTCATTTGCATATTTATTGTGTGCCTGGTGGTTTTATTCTGGAACATTCCGCTCCATCCCCGTGACCCAGGAAACCTGCACAGTCACCCTTCAGATCCATCAACACATGGAACACTTGCAATTTGATGTGGTAAACATGCCCCGGTTTCCACTCATCATGGGACTCTCCTGGCTGATGACTCGCAACCCCATCCTTGACTGGGCTCAGCAGGTCGCTTCCAAGACCCTTGCCCACACCACACCACACCTGTGATGCTGGCAACAGCTGCCCTGGCCAGCACCCCCCTGCTCCCACAAAAGTACGCAGATTTTGCTGATGTATTTGAAGAGAAGGGGGTTGACCAGCTTCCCCCGCACCAGCCATATGATTGCGCCATTGACCTCGTGCCAGGAGCACCCTTACCAGAAGGGTACCTGTACACCCATGTCCGAAACAGAGCTGGAAGCCCTGTGAGACTTCCTTGCAAAGAACTTGAAATGAGGCTTCATCTGGCCCTCTACATCCCCACTATCCACTCTGGTCCTCTTCATAAAGAAGAAAAGTAGAGAGCTCCGCCTCTGCAATGACTATTGGGAACTCAACAAGATTACAGTCAGTGATTGATACCTCCTTCCGTTGATTCCCGAACTCCTAGATCGCTTGAAGGGGGCCCAGATCTATACTAAACTTCATCTTCATCTTCATGGTGCCTACAACTTGGTGCGTATATGGCCAGGGGATGAGTGGAAAACCACATTTGGCACCCAGTATGGCCAATATGAATACTTGGTGATGCCATTTGGGTTGACCAACACCCCCACCATCTTCCAGAGGCTGATGAATGACATCTTTAGGGACCTGCTTGATCGTTTTGTTATTATTTATTTGGATGACATTTCGATTTTTTCTCCCAGCCCCACCCAGCATGTCAAGCATGTCCACAAGGTGCTGCATTGCCTATGAGTCCATGGCCTCTATGCCAAGCTCGAGAAGTGCAACTTTGACCAGTGCTCTGTTGAGTTCCTTGGCCACATTGTATCACCTTAGGGGATCCTCATGGATCCGAAAAAAAGTGGAGGCTGTCCTGACGTGGCAGGCCCCTCGAAACCACAAGGACTTGCAACAGTTTCTCGGCTTTGCCAATTATTACTGGCAATTCATCCCAGCCTATGCATCCCTGACCACCCCTATGACTCAGCTCCTCAGGCCCAAGGAAGCCTTCTACTGGGCCCCAGAGGCTGACCAAGCCTTCACCGCTCTGAAAGCCCGCTTTGCCACCAGTCTGCTCCTGCGCTATCCAGACCCCCAGCTGCCCTTAACCGTCAAAGCGGACGCTTCCAGCGTCGTTCTTGGAGCCATCCTGTCCCAATTAGACAACCCTTCCCAACCTTTCCAACCCTGCACCTACTGCTTTTACCAGCTAAAGGCAGCCAAGAGAACCTACACCATCTGGGAGAGGGAACTGCTTGCCATCAAGACCACCTTCGAGGTCTGGAGGGATCATCTTGAGGGAGCATGTCACCCAGTCCAGGTACTCACAGATCATCACAACTTAGAGCACCTCCAGATGACTCACCGTCTCAACCAGCGGCAGATCCGGTGGTCCCTTTTCTTCTCGCGCTTCGCTTTCCGTATCACTTATGTTCCTCATACCCATAACCAGAAAGCAGATGTGCTCTCTCGAAAAGCTGAATAAACCTCCACTTCAACTGAAGAAGCCCCCACCACCCCCATCCTGCCACCTTTGGTCTTTCCAGACATCTCGACTCACCTGACCCTGACAGAGGAGATCTGCGCCAGTCAGGCTCACGACCCCTGGGCGCAAGAGCGCCTCTGGAAGCTGCAAGACAGCTCAGCAGAAGAATTTAGAACCCGAGATGGCCTCCTGCTGCACTGCGAGTGACTCTACGTGCCACTCAGACCCCTGCGAATGGAAGTGTTGCATCCGTTGCATGACACTTCAGCCAGCACAAGACCACCCATCTATTGACATGGGAGTTCTGGTGGCCCCGAGTCTGCACCGAAGTTGCCCGGTATGTTGGCTCCTGCAAGGTCTGTCAACAGGCTAAAAACCTCCTGGCCAGACCTTCAGGTCTCCTGCATCCCCTGCCCACACCTTCTGGACCCTGAAACACTATCTCTCTGGACTTCATCACAGAGCTTTCCCAGTCCAGGGGCCAAACTTGCATCCTGGTGATTGTGGACCTTTTCACCAAAATGGCCCACTTCATCCCGTGCCCAAAACTACCCACAGCTCAGGAAATGGCTCAGGTCTTTCTGCAGCACACTTTCCATCTACACAGAATTCCAGCCCACCTGATTTCTCCAGGGTGCCAGTTCACCTCCCATTTCTGGCATGCCCTCCTCTCCTGCCTGGGTACCCAGGTCCACCTATCCTCCGCTTACCACCTGGAGTCAGATGGCCAGACAGAGCACATGACAGTTGGAATAGTACCTCCGCTGCTACACCTGCTACCAGCAGGACAACCAGGCCTCTCTGATTCCTCTGGCCGAATTTGCCTATAACAACTCTGTGCATTCGTCCATGCAGAAAACAGTGGTCACTGCGAACTATGGGTACCACCCTCGGTTCTTCCCATCAGTCCTTTCACCCACCAACATCCCGGCAGCAAATGCCTATCTGCAAGAATTCCATGCCCTCCAGGACCTGCTCCGGGAACAATTACAGTGGGCAAAGGAGGCATATAAAATCACAGCTGACTGCAAGCAGCAGGAAGGCCCACCATTCAAGCTTGTGGACCATGTCTGGCTATCAACCCAGCACCTCTGGCACAAGTTCGAGGAAACCCTCCCTCACTTCTCCAGGACAAACAGGCCAATTGAAAACAGTAACAATGACCCTTGCACAAATGAATATGAAAGATCTGAAGAACCTTATTCAAAGAAGTGTGGCACAAGCAACAAAAGCAACAGTAGAAACAACCTTCTTGTCACTAGTTAAGAAAGAAATTGAGCCATTACAAACAAAAATGGATGTATTCACACTGCAGATTCCAAAGGGACCATTCCTGACACTGGAGCAAATCAACCCCATCGCTTTCCACCCAGTGTTCCACCAGTCACTCCTGGTGCCAGCCACAGCCCCTGACCCAGCTCAACCGCTGCCGCTACCACTGCCAGTGCTAGTCAATGATGAGGAAGAATATGAAGTACGCCAGATCCTGGGTTCCCAGCACTATAGAGGCAGCCTACAATACCTCATTGACTGGGCCCGAGGACCTGTCCA